ATAAACCAAGCAGCATCCTGCAGAAATACGGAGACAGAGTGAGAGAAAATGGTCCCCAGTGAAGAGCTGGAGGAAGTAGCCTTTAAATGAGTCTTTCACACGTCTGTCCATAAGAAAAGCCTGTGTGATGAGTTGGCCAAGCCCTCTGCTGACTTTTCTTCTCCTTATTCATGAAGCTCTGCTCAGGAAAGGTCCGCTCCCTCTCGATGGTGCTGCTCACTCACAGTGCCACCTTACTGTCTGACGCATGGGTTACTCTCTGTCTCTAAAGCATGGGCATCAGGCAGATTTCATAAATTCCGTAGTAGGAGTCACATTCTCTGTGGGAATACAGATGTCCTGTGTGACCTTCAACAAATCAGAGGTGTCCATCTACCTCAATACAAAGTCCACACCTCAGGCAGCCAAAGCTCAAAGTCTACAGGTGAGAAACAAAGCCCTGGCTCCACACGGCACAGACAGAACAGGAGGGAGCCCATAAAACTGACTGGAAAATGGGAAGAGGCATTTTCCGTGATTGTGGACATGATGGATGAAATCAGCTCACAGGTACATTCTTGGGTCCTTTGCAACTCCATGCAGAAGGGCTCCTGAGCTCTCGGGCCGCTCACAGCCACCAACCAGCTCTCTTGGGCTTTGTCACAACTGGGCTATGTTCTTATTCTCAGCGTGGACTTTCCTTTCTGCCTGCTGGTTATCTGCTGTTCTTCAAACCCACAGCTGGGGGAAGCGCCTGTGGAGATGGTGTTTTTCTTTCTAAATCAGCAAGATTTTTTTTCTCTTTTATTCTTCACAGTTTGCAAGTTGTAGCCAAAACTCACATATCCCTGTTCAATTTGTTTTCCGTCTATTCTTACTCATAGCTTTAAAAAAAAAAAAAAAAAATCAGATAATAAAACCAAAGTATTCTGCTACAGTTCATTATTTGGGCCAAAACACCTTCCCTTATGTTTGTTTGCCCATGGGAAGAGACGGTAAGTCAGAACCTCTGTGATCTTCCTGACTAGGGAGGCAGAAACAGAAAGAATAAGAAATACGCAACAGCTTTTCAGCTGATGATACAAATCAGCACAGCTCCCTTGTTTTCAGTAGAGCTTTCCTGCTTTTGCCGGCTTAGGAGCCATGTCCGAGTTGTTTCCAGTGCGCTTATGATGAGACATTTAGGTAGTAATCCCACGGCAATCTAAGTGGGCAATAGCACCTCAATCCATGTATAAACACCGGCACTCCTGGGGAAAAAAGAATTCTCTCTGGATTTGCGTATTATTCTAACATTCCTCAAATACTCGTAACTTCATAAGCAGCCCTGATACGCACAACAAAAATGGAGTAGAGATACAAAAGCGTGTTGGCATTCTGGAGTGAGTTGTTCCTAGTGTACACAGGACCACTTTCAAGTATTTTAGTCAAAACATAAATCTTGAATAATACAAGTAATAGATGATGCACCCATTACTTTTGCTTCCTCTCCATTCATAAATTGTCCAGGAAAAAAACAGCAAAAAAAGTTCATTTACAGCAATCGCTGTTACCTCTTAAGAAGGGGGTGGGTCATCCAGCCTTTTCCATGCAAGGGAAACACTTGGAAGAGCAAGGAATTGGATCCTGAACGAGCTCTTACTGGAAAGCTGGGAGGGAATGGGAACCAGTGAGGAGGACGTTGCAAGGCGTGGAAAACAAGGAATTCCTTACACAGACACCTGTTTTTAAAAAATATTTATTTATAGTGTGCAGCATAACCGACCAGACAAATTCCGTGGCATTAAGAACAACAAAAAAAAAAGATAATAATACCGAATGATACAAATTGACAAAATGAGTCCTGTGGAGCAAAGGAGATCTGTAAATCACATCCAGAGCAGACTGGTAAATCTATGTAGTAAACAAGCACAGAGGCAGCATAGTATACACGGACAGGAGGACCTGAATAAAACCCAGAGGAATTAAATGGAACAGAAGAGTTTCTGCTGATTCTAATGGACTAAGATTTCATTTTCATTCTATAATTCTGTCATAAATACATTGCAGTGGTCAAAGTGACATAGCAAAAGCAGTGCACGGTGTCCAAGCGTTACACCAGGACCCGTTTTGTGAAATGGTCAAAGTAATGCATTAGAGTCCATCGTTTGTGTCACGTACATTACCTACAATTGTTCTGCACTTGCACTTTGAGACTCTTTTCATGATAACATTAAAAAAAATATATGTTAAGGGCATTGAATAGACTGAAAATCTTGAAGCACCACAATATTAATTTCTTTAGCATGAATTGTGTTTGCCGTGAGCTCAGTGTCTTGTTTCTGAGTTTCTGTCAGTAAAAAGTGGAAAATGAAGTGTGTAACTTCAGGAACAACAAATCTGATGTTAACACAGGACGAGCGTCCAGTCCCACTGTGACAATCTGGTCTCACTTCTTTCTGTGCTGGGGGTGTTTATCCTCAGTACCCAGTGGTTTATGTTCAGAATTTTTAGGTCTCATCACTTTGGTTGGCCATGACAGTAACCCCCTTCCTTCCACACCCCTAACTGCAACGCAATGAAGTTACTTGGTTGTTTACTGCACTTAGGCTTAATCTTCACCTTCAGGACATTATTTTCTTCCATATTCTTCTGTACTCACCCAAAGTTTGCCTCAACGTTCTATGTTTGAATGTATTTATCTGCCTTTTACTCTTCCTTTAAGACCCTACTTTCACACCGATTTAAGACAACAGGTCTTGTAATTAGGTTGGACAACTGCCATCCAGAATTTTTCCTAGGCAAAACTCCAATAGAGTCAATTGGCTTCAGTGGGAGACTTCTCCGAGTAGGAAGGGCAGGATTTGGCCTCATCGAGACTATAAATTCCAGTTTAAAACTCAGTAGTTGTTCAGAGGCTCGCTCCCGTGACAACACCACTCTTTGTGCTTCCTTTGCTGAATTCCTTTCCGAGTCATAGCAGGAAAGCTTTCTGGCACCAAAATCAAATGATAATGCCCTGGCCATCTCCCAAGACCCAGTTATGCCTTGTAGAAAGCATCCTTCTTTTCGCTGCTCTCAAAGGGAGTGTAAAGCCTCCAAGATGTCTGGTTTTGTCATTTTGTTAGGAAAGGCCAGTTCTTTTCATGTAGGCGATAAACAGGCCCCGATAAGCAACTGTGACCCTGCCAAACTCACCCGTTCTTCTGGTGATGTAATAAGTACTTACACTTCCAATAAACCCACGCTGCAGTATTTAAGGTGTTCTCCACAGCTACGTAAGGAAGCACGCTGCTGTTCAACAACTACTGAGGGCATTCTGCCTGCTCAGCCCCAGCAGCTCTACTCAACCCCAAGCACTGGTCCCACCAGTCGAGTCCCGTCCCACCACTGTATGTTTCCCACCCCTCTCAGAAGCCGTAGGCCACACTCCTTTCTCAGTGTAATTCTTTTTTTTTTTTTTTTTTTTGTAAAACACAAACATTTGGGATATTACATGGTCCAAAATATAAGTAAAAATTAAGCACAGCCTAGTTCAACAGACCAGACGTAGATATTTTCACACCACCAGCCTCTATAGCAAAGTACTCCTACGCTTTCTGGTAACTGCACAGAAAACACTTCACCCTTCGTATCTGAGACCCCAAACATTTCCCATTCTTTCAAATGCTTCAGTCACTGAATTACATCCCTCTTTGCCAAGGAAATCTTGAGAAAACAAGTCAGTCATATAGCGCTTCCCGTAGGCACCGAGTTCCTGCCTGAGCAGCCTTCAGGGGAAAAAAGCCTTTCCGAAGCAAAAGCTCTGCGCTGAGTCGGCTCTAGCAGTGGTCCCCCTGGTCTCTATCAAGCTACTGGATTTAGTTCACCCGATGATCTCAGCTACTGTAGAACCACATGGAGAGCCTCTCACCTCTAAAACTTATGACACAAAACATTTACGGCCTCGTTAGCTAAACACATCAGGAAATGAGACTGGTACCACCCTGTTTGAAAGGCCCAGGCTCTCCTCGGAAAGCCCCAGGACTAAAAACGGTGCTGCACTCTGCACTAGCGTTAGAATAAGAGTGCAAAAATAGGATAGAGACACTTGTGGTCAGAGGACCTGATAAAACATCCACTCTTCCTCCAGTTCTTACAGCATAAACAGCGGTATGTGGCCTAAGTCACATACTCGCATCCAAGTTTGGCTCTAGCCAAGGTGATTCCTAATTTTCAAGAAGAGCAGAGATGGAAATACAGATCCTGATATCAAATGAATACACAGCGCTGACGATGTGCCACTCCTTGCTCACCCCGGGCTCCCCCAGTGCCCAGGTACATGCAGGGAACACACTCAGGAACCACAACACAGAATTTAGCAGACACGTTCCTGAGAAGACAGTCGGCCAGTGCCGCTGTGTGTGACGAGCTCACCAGAAGGGAATGGATGAGATTTATTTTCAATCTTCTGGGCTGTAGGCGTGTCAGGAGCAGGGGTTGTTCAGCAGGTTTGAAGACAAATAAAAAGTGAAAAAAAATCTGTGAGAAGACCCAATCTTTATTCACTATCTTCCCTCCCCTCTGCACCTTCTGTTCTAACCCTGGGCCAAAATGACCGAGATGAAAGACATTTGTGAAACCTGGAGCTCAGTGGGGAATTGGGGATGAGTTTTGCTATTTTAACAGTGACTTTTTTGACAGGTAGATCTTAGAACACAATATTTGAGTTATCATACAGCGTATTTTGGAGAAAGACTGTACTTCTGCAGTGAAGTCAGCTCAGTCACAAACAAATAATTTGACTTCCCCCAAGCTAGCTTCCACTGGCCTCCAGGAAATGAAATCTAACAAAAAATAGCCATTTTGATGAGGGTTTAAACTGACAAGTAAGGACTAAAACGCTAGTCACTGCACACCATTGTCAAATTTTTCCCACATTGAGTAATTTTGGTTCCTAATGGAGCTCATACTACCTCCATACCTAGCACAAAACATCTGTGAATTAAACTGCTCGGTGAAATTTATCTTATATCGGAATCAAAACAAACATTAGAATCAATGGGACACTAAATGATCTGACGCTCTTGAGCTTTGACCTTGGTGAGCACTGCCAGAGTGGAACAGTCGGCACGTCCAAACGCCTTTCCAAACACTTAGCAATGATTCAGAAAGTGGGTCATTAACACATTTTGTCATGTTATGCAATTTTTCCCTCCCCTCTAAACTGGGCTTTTTTCCAGGTCCAGTAGCCAACAATAAATCAATCACAGTCTCTCATAAGCTTTTTGACTTAAATTCTATCCTGTAGGTTAGGTTAAAAACAGAGTGGAAATCACTGCAGGAGGTAAGGCAGGAGGGGGCTAGTGGTGATTGCTGTTTAGGAGATGTTTGCTTGACCCACAGCCATTCTTGTTGCCGTTCTTTGTGGACTCCTCTTCGTTGTCTGTAACAGAATCTTCCTCCTCTTCGTCACTCCGGTCATCTTTCAAGTCCTAGGGAAAAGAAAGCACCGTGAGCATATTCTGTACTTGCAGTGCTTACTACCAGGTAAGTTACCAGATTGTTATTATCAGTGCAGTACAGACCTTCCAAAAAGGCTTACGGGTGCCAGACAAGAAAGTAATTTATTGAGTATCTGGATCTTTGCAATAGCTTTGAAAAAACAGCTAATACTTTTATTAGTCAGGTGCCCCCATTTGTAATTACAAGATGAAGAGATGGCGCATAAAAATTCCATAAAATTAATTCCCATCTTGGAAATTCCTCATCACTCTCTAAAGACAAAAATCATGCGTCCTCCATTTGCCTCAGCAAAAAAAAAAAAAAAAAAAGAAAATGTGCTAAAGGGAAAAAATGACAGGGAAGCTCTAAATACTCTAGACTATGAAAAGTGAAACACCCAGAAACACCCCCTCCCCAAAAATGGAGGCTAACATCCAAGGAGAGACCACTTAATACTTTCATCTTGCAGAACCTAATGTTCTTTAGGGATAATTTCTTCCACAACCTTGGCCCATTCATATGACCTCTTCTTGTTTGTTTCTGCTTTCCCTTGTAAAGCTTTACTAGTAATCCCTGGGTGCTGTGGGATTAATTAACAATTGTGAAGTGCAGGGAAGATGAAAAGAATGTTGTATAAAAGCTAAATATGATGAATACACTCGCCCAAACGTAGGAGTTGAGAGGCTGCCTGCTTCTGACAGGTGTAAACTAAACAGTGACTAGTTGTGCCAGCATCTCCTGGTAACTTTGCTCAGAGAGACTTACTGACCCTAAAATATTCTTCCCTGTTTGATGGCATATACACCACATCAATTGCAAAGGTGATGCCATGTCTATACAGCTATCGTACACATGTTGGGTATCCTGCTAAGGGAATTGCAGGGATGAAAGGGGGTCAGCGAGACAGTCTGCCCTTACGAAAATCCCTTCCCAGCTCTATAGGAACAGCTTCTAACCTTTGGCAACCATATTTCATCCCCAGACAGTCAAACACAGCACTCGCTAATGCATGTTTCCACCACAGAGAGAAAAGACATTGTGTCTACCTGGTAGTTCCCAGCAAAGGTAAGGGAAAGGTAAGACACTTCTGCACTTTTTGGCATGGTATATAAAATATACCATTACTCTCTTATTTCTCAACTCCTACCATAACCCAAGTCCCTCCAACGTGCTCAGAAGTTTGGCCGAAACAGTTGAGGCTTCTGCATTAAAACCAAACACCTCCACTTCCCTTTCAGTGCAACAGGCTTACAGGACCACTACCTGCCTCCCTGGGGGGACTTCCCATCCCAACTGATGACCTGGCTCTGCAGACTCAGGGTAGAATGCTCTAGTTAAAGATGCTGTAAATCAAATAAACACTTCCTTCTGCCTAAGCAGTGACTGAGAATGGAAATAAGATCAAAGCAAGCACCTAAGAAACCTTCTCCACCTTCAGCAGTTTCCTGTGTGATTAGCAGCTGCCACTGCTTGTCTCTTCTGGTTACTCAGAAGGTGCCTGGTAGACCTGATACCAGACGCACATGATACACTCTAGTTCTTGTGTTGGAAGAGATGGGCAATAGTCATTCCCATTCCTCGTGATTTAAGACACCACCTCTCACTTAAAACCAGGAGTTTCCCCACAGCTGAGAGTCAAAACCTGGGCCCTCACACTGTGGCTGACAATTTACCCATTAGCATGACCATATCTCATTTGTTAATGGTATGTACTCCTAAAATTGAACAGCCGGCTATTTGGTTGTGGCAGTGTTCAAGTGTTGAGGACTGCAGGTGTGATGGTGCCTTTCTGTAACGCAGGAGGTTTGGGCCTGCAGGACTGTCTGCTCTGAGGGAGACCTGAGAGTAAGTTGCCTCCAGAGCTGTGTGCTGGAGCTGGCAGGTGTGTTAGCCCTCGTGCTGCCTGTACAGCCCCACCGAGGACCACTCCATCATGGATAAATCTGTTGTCCTTGTCATCTGTCTGGACCTCAACTAAAGAGGCTGAGACTGCACATTCTTCCCGTTCCTGGAACGGTGTGCCAAGGTCAGAGATGAGGCACAGAAAGGAGAAAACAGTGTTGTTCCTGCCCATCCTGTATCTGCTCTCGGAATGAACGAGCAATTTCACTTTCTTAGCTTGCTGGTCTGAGGTCTTTCTTAAGCACCAAATCCATACAGAGAAAATAAGCGACAGCTCAGTAATAACTCATCCAATTGCCATGCCTTTATATATTATACTTCTAGTAAAACATATAGGACTAGAAAGAAAATTAAAGCCTAAACTCTGTCTCATCATATAAACTTCCTGGAGATTTTCTTTTGCCTTTTCCCTAACAACATGCAAAGGGTATCAAAACAAACAAATCTTACTGTAAATACTGTAAAATAAACTTGGCATGCCATCAGTTAGAGAAAAGGAAAGACAGCCTTTCCCACACAAACAATTTATGAGGTTCTGCTTCTTTCAGATCACCTCTCTCGCTCCTGGTAGTTTTGTGATTTGTATTTGCAGTAAAAGACAAGTGTTGAGGGTGTGTAGGGAGCCTTGGTACTTTTTTGCCGCCATAAATGTTTCAGAAAAAAGTCCACAAACTAACCCCAAGTACAGCGTCTGATGCAGAATCTGCCAGGCTCACTGGAAGTACTCTCATCTTCTTGAGCAGTCTCTGGCCGAGGCTGCAAAGGTGGGGAGGGACGGGGGAGGAGCGCTTTTGTGCTCAGTGTGAACAGACTCGAGTCAGTAAAGTTCATGAGTGCATATTTCATTCGGAGTACCTCACTGCGGTCTACAGAAGTTGCTGGTACTCAAGCATATGCTTAAGAATAGCTGGTAATTTGCTTTGCTCGATAGCTGGAAGTGACATCAACTCCTGTTTCCTATAGCAATGAGTTGGCATTTCCAGCCTGCAGCTAAAAACTCAGATAGGATTTGCTTCCCAGTTTTAATGCTGTCAAGCTGGATGCCCTGATTAAAGGCATTAGCAATTAAAAAACATGTATATGTTTTTTCCAGCACACTGGAAATCCCTCCATTTGACAGG